CTCTGTGTGTGTGGATGTGCAATGGTATGGAAAGCGTCGCATACATTCTCCCTCCCCCTTGTTTGAATGGATGGGAACAACTCAAGATGGATGGAGAGGAAGGTGGAGAGATGGAGAGTGAGTTTGGTACAGTCTGAATGGGGAGGGTCGGTTTGAGACTTGACTTTTTGACTGAGCGAGTGGTGACACGCGTACAACTCGAATGGGATCGTTCCTCAGAAGAAGTGAAGGAGGGAGGGAGGGAGGGAGGGAAGAAGGGTGGAAATGACGCCTGTGCTTCTCCTCTCCCTCCTTCCTTCGCCCCCCCTTCCTCATTCCAACTTTCACTTCTGACAGCGAGACCGACAGGAACCAAGGGAAAGGGGAGAGGAAACGAAGCACAAGCCAAGTCAACAGACCCCCCCCCCCCCCCGAGGAAAGAAACCATCCCCTCCATCCTCACCCACCTTCGAACCCGTCCACCACCCATCCTAAACCGAGTCTCCTAAACCCCCACCCCCTCCAGCCAGAGCCCTTTCCTTCTCCTTCTCTTCTTCCTTCTCACCCCTCGCGCCATCACGCAGATCAGATAGACGGTGCGCCGCGAAGAAACACGGAAACAAGCGGAAACCGACACAGGGTTCGAGGACACCATAGAAGAAGGAGGAGGAGGAGAAAGGAGAAGAGAAGGAAGGACAGCAAACGAAGGGATGCCAAGCGTAGACCCATCCGAGGCGTCTTCTTCCGACCATCTGAGGAAGCGATCCACCGCAGCATCCTCTCAAGACCCCGACCAAAGATCCGAAGAGACGAATCCATCGAGACAGGCCGAGGGAGGTCAAGCCATGCTCTCCTCGAGGGCGAGGCACGCCAAAGCTCTGGAGGATGAGTCCGACTTTCAGGAGATGGGCATGAGCCACCTGACTCACCTCAACGGTTCGGATCCGGATCGAAAGGCGAGGTCGGATCTCGTCCTCGACCAGCACAGGAAGGATCCACCATCCGGCACCGTCGATGGGGATGCTGGCGGTGGTGGTGGTTTCATGGACCTGGGTCCAAAGGATCAGAAGGCGTTCGCTCTCCTCGTCGTGCTCTACCTTCTCCAAGGTGTACCCGTCGGACTGGCTTTCGGTACGATGCCTTTCCTCCTAAAGTCGAGGCTGAGCTACTCGGACATCGGTTTCTTCATGCTCTGCACCTACCCTTACTCCTTGAAGCTCCTCTGGAGCCCGGTGGTGGACTCCATGTTCGTCAACTCCGTCAGGCTCCCCATCGTGGGAACCACCGTCTCCTTGGGGAGGAGGAAGAGTTGGATCGTCCCCATCCAGTTCATCGTCGGATCCATGCTCTGGCTCCTCAGCAACAACGTCGATCAGCTCCTCCTGGCAGAGATCCCCAACGTAAGGTTCATCACCCTCATCTTCTTCGTCCTCGTCCTCTTCACCGCCACCCAGGACATCGCCGTGGACGGTTGGGCCTTGACCTTGCTCTCCCAGGAGAACCTCAGCTACGCCAGCACGGCTCAGACCGTAGGTCTCAACACGGGTTACTTCATGTCCTTCACCGTCTTCCTGGCCTTCAACTCGGTCGAGTTCGGCAACAAGTACTTCCGAAGCCAACCTCTGGAACAACCCATCCTGACGCTCAACGGCTACCTACGATTCTGGTCCTTGGCCTTCTTCGCCGTCACAGCCTGGCTCCTCCTCGCCAAGAAGGAGGACGAGGAACCCACCGACCAACCCGACATGGACGTCAAGAAGGTCTACTCGATCCTCTGGAAGATCTGCCAGCTGAAGCACATCCAGACCTTCATCGTCATCCACCTGATCGCCAAGATCGGCTTCCAGGCCAACGAGGCCGTCACCGGTCTCAAGCTCGTGGAGAAAGGGTTGGGAAAGGAGGACCTCGCGCTGGCGGTTCTGATCGACTTCCCCTTCCAGATGGTCTTCGGCTACCTCGCCGCCAGGTGGTCCAAGGGGGACAACGTCTTCAAACCTTGGATCTGGGCCTTCGTGGCCAGGTTGGGTTTCGCCGTCCTTAGCATGCTCATCGTCAAGGGGATGCCGACCGAAGCCGGAAACCCGATCAGTCCCACCTACTTCTTCATCATCATCACCTCCACCGTCACCAGCAGTTTCGCCAGCACGGTCCAATTCGTCGGCATCACCGCCTTCCACACTCAGATCGCCGACCCTCTGATCGGAGGGACCTACCTCACCTTGCTGGCCACCTTCAGCAACCTGGGAGGAACCTGGCCGAGGTACTTTGTCCTCAAAGGCGTCGACCTCTTCACCCTTTCCACCTGCGTCAGACCAACCTCCTCCGTCAACTCGACCTTCGAATTCGGAAGGGAATGCACATCGGATCTGGGAAAGGCAGCCTGTTCAGCTGCCTCCGGGATCTGCGAGATCCAAAGGGACGGTTACTACTGGACCTCGACCATCTGCGTCCTCATAGGTCTCACCACCTTGATCCTCTACATCATCCCAGCCTGCAAGAGGTTGCAATCCCTCCCTTCCACGGCCTGGAGGATCAACATCCATTCATCCAGTAGGGATCATTGAATGGGAGAACGAGAATCCCCCTTGTCAAACCCTCCCGCATCACACACGTAAAAGGAAACCCTTCCTTCTCTTCGGAAAACCTTCTCCCTCTACCTTTGCCCCCTCCAACTCTCCTCGGATCTACTTGTCGATTTTTTCAGGCAAGGAGTTGGATTGATCCTTTCACCCCACCCCCCGGTACACTCCTGTCAAATGGTTAATTTGCCCCCCCCCCCCCCCCAACCCATGTCCAATCCACAGAAAGTGAGAGAGAGAAGAGGGTGCCAATGAATGTTGAAGATGGGAGGAGGTCGGGTAAGAAGGGGAAGGATCCTTCCCGCAAGTCGTGTTGGGGACGTGCGAGTGCCAAAACCATTTGCATTCTGGGTCTTTTCTCTTTTTCTCTTTTTTCGATCCCTTTCCTTCTCCGCTCGTTGGGTCTTGCGCGATAGGTGGAGTGGAAGGGAGGGGGGGGGTTTCTCGATTCTTCTATACAAGTTTCTCTCTCGACATCTGTTTTCAACCCAGTATGAGCTCGTAGAGGATGACGACGATGTTGACCGCTATGAGGGGGACTGTTTCGAAATCAGATGGAAAAGAGAAAGAAGGGGTAGCGGGGAAGGAAAAACGCTTTAGGAAATCTTCCGCACTTCATCTACCTTTCTTCTTTCTTCCCCCCTTGGTTCCTCCTGCTTCTTTTTATGTGTTCCTCCCCCATGCGCCGATGGGCCTTTCTCTCGGATGGATCTCGAAGATTTCGAGAAGGGGAAAAAGAGGGATGGGGGAACATCTTGTGCGCTGCCAGGGTCGGTCTTTCTCACTCACTTCTCATCAAGACCCGGACGGCACTTATCAGGTTGATGAGCCTCTCCTTGATCCCTGCATCCTGGCCGCTTTGAGGACCTCCGAAGCCTTGGTCGAAGGATGGAGGTTGGTTCGAAGACCAACCGACTTTCGAGTGGATTCGTGGAGAGATAGGGGGGAGGGGAAAGGGAAGCCAGTGTGGAGAGACGGGAGGGACGGAAATGAGGATGTGTCCGTTTCCACGGGTTGTACGTGGACATGATGGTGATGATGGTGTAAGTTGAACGCTGGCCTACTCGGTCATCTGGGATGGAGGCCGGTCTTCTGAGTGTTTTCTCTTGATCCTAGACCTTCCCAACCAGATCTTTGACCCCTTCCCTAGAGAAGTAGAAGCAGGACCCGGGAAGCTACGGATCCCATACCATAGCTGTTCAAAGAATGAAAAAGTCTATCCCACGCATCCGCCCCTCCCCTTCCCTTTCTTAACCAAAGTCCCTTCCGTCTGGAATGGCAAACGAATCTTCCATCTCTCACCTCTGGCTAGAAACCTCTCCTCGTTCAGGATAGCAACGGCGTTGATCAAGAGCAAGGAGACGTAGAAGATCTGACCCAGGACCATTTTCCGTTTCGGACGTTGGCCTTTCCTTGATGATTGTGAAGAGCTTTCTTCCCTCTTGCTCTTGCCCTGGTGGCTCTTCGATGGAAGATCTCCCTTCCTACCCCTAGAAGAAAAGGTTTTTTTTAAAAGGGTCCCCGTTGTATGTTCCCTCTTCTCCCCCTCTTTTGGCCTTTCGCCTTGTTCTGCGTGGATTGAGGGGTGTTCCGGCTTTTCAAAAGGGATTGACGATTGGGGAAAGCGTTTCCAGATCCAGGTCGAGATCTGGAGGGATTGGATTGTAAGATATCTGCCCCACGTCGATCAGATGGAATCAGAAACGAGGATCGACAATAGCAACAAGAGGAGCGCAACTTTCGCTCCCTCTTGCTATCCTGGTCGAGCTGATCCGATCCAAGTGGCTTGTGATGACTTCCTCTACTCAACCAGGTTTTCCTCGACAAGGGCCGGTTTCGTCGGCAGTGGGATGTGGAGGCGTCTTCAAACTTCTACTCTCCTCGTCCTCTCACTTTTTACTCCTTGGTATGATGAAGGGTTCCAAGGTCGTTTTAGTGATGGGTGTGAGGGATAGGTAAGGCGGGATAGTGAGAGGAATGAAGGCGAGGAGTGAGCGAGGAAAGCTGAGAGATTCCACCTTCCCCAATCCATCAGTGTTGGCCCCCCACCTTCGATCTCTCTCTCTCTCTCTCTCTCTCTCTCTCTCTCTCTCTCTCTCTCTCTCTCTTCTCTACCCCTCTTTCCCTCTCCACCAATCGAGCGGGTCTGTGCATAGATGCGTTCATCTGTTCCCGCCTGCGCACAGCGAGTGTCTGACCAACTCGGCCCCGCAAGTCGTTTCCCCTTTTGCGAAAAGGGTTTTCTGACTTTCAGGATGAGGAGTAGTCAGTCTGAATGCCGCTACAAAGCGTTGACTCGCATTTTCAGTGCTCTGCTCGATATTGCTCCCGTGGAAGAAGGTTGGAGGTAAGCAGGACTGGGGAAAACGACGAAAGTTTTGGCTTTCAGGAATAATTCTAAGGTTTATATAAATAATTTTGATAGGGTGAGGTTGGAGCTAGGCCGGCTTAGCTCAGTGGTTTAGAGTGCTCCTTTCCGGTACGCTTGACCTTTCATTAGGCGAGCGATGGATGGGAGAAGTCGTCAGTTCGAACCTGGCAGTTGGCTCGCTCTCTTATCTATCTCTCCTTTTTGCCTTTGGTTCCGACCACGCCCCTTCCCCAAACATGTTCGGAATCGAGACGGTCTTCCACAACCCTACACTTTCTTTCATTTCCCTCCCTCTCCTCCTTCCTATAATCCTCCCTTGTCTTTCGCCCTTTTTTGAAAGGAAAAAAGCGAGTGCGAAAATGAAGTCCCTTTCCCTCTGGCAGGATTTGGAGAACAGCCAGCCAAGTGCGAGGTACTGAAAAGGGAAGGGAGAGAAAAATCTTTCCCTGCTCTTCTCTCTTCGAAAGAGCCAGGGGAAAAGAGGGGGAAACGACTTCGTGAACGTGGAATTGACCAAGAGTGGAGGATTTGGAAAAAAAAAAAAAAAAAGGGGGGGGGGGAGGAAGAGGGATCACGTGGTTTGGGATCCTCTTGGCGTTTCAGTGGGCGATTGTAGAGGTACTCCTTTGTTTTTGACTTTTTCTTCTCGTCTTTTAGGATTGGAATATCTTTCTTTTCATTTCAAAAAGGTTCGATCTGCTTGCCCGAGAGATTAGATTGTGTCTACAAGGGGTTGGGAGAGGGAGGGGCAGAAAGTGGAAAGGATGGGGGCGGGGGAGTAGGGAAGAAGACAGGAAGGAGATGGGGGCGGGGGATAAAGAAGGAAAAAATAAGGGTGCGGAGTGTTGAGTGGGTAAGGGATCAAAGATGCTGCGTACAAAAGATGTTGTTGCGATTCGGAGAGAGGCTGGGGGGG